ACCTCATGATCCACCCGCCTCGGCCTCCCAAAGTGCTGGGATTACAGGCTTGAGCCACCGCGCCCGGCCAATATCAGGAATCTTGACATTGGTTTGTCTTGGCTTCAAGTCCCGGTTCTGCCACTTAGTGTTGTTTTGGGCAGGTTTCCTATGGAGCCTCAGTTTCCCCTCCTGTCAGATGGGGTTATTTATATGTAAGTAGTACCCTGCAGAGCCAGCGGCATGAGGGTTCAATACAGTAATGCACGTGGAGCCCATGGAATGACATTGGCACACAGGGACAACTCAACTAAGTGTTGTTAGAATTTCGATTGTTATTATCAGAATCTGACAGGGTATGGCAGCTCACAGCTGTAGTCCCAGCCACTCAGGAGGCTGAGGCAGGACATCACTCAAGCCCAGGATCTCCAGCCCACCCTGGGCCTCATAGGAGACCCTGTCTCTTAAAAAAAAGAATCTGCTACTGCTAAGTAGGCACTTAGAATGACATAGTTGTTTCTCCTCTTGTCTTCAGTGCTCTGTTAATTTCTTTACAAATTTAAAAAAAAAAAAAAAAAAAGCGTTGATAGCAGTCTTATTCAGATACGGCCCCCCTCCATCCCTCCTTGTCTTGGCTGGTGCCTTGCTCTGGGGCACACATCAAAGCTATTCTCTCCGCTGGGTGGCCTAGAAGGATTAGTCTTCCTTTGCTGCTCCTCTTTTCTAATTCCCTTCCTCGGCTTCCTCCCACCTGGGCTCTGTGTGTGGCCTTCCTGGAGAAGGAGAGATGCCAATGACTCCATGTCTAGTCAGAGGCCTGGGTACCTGCACTTCTTGCCCTGTTCTTGGCCTTGCTGTGCTGGGCAGGGTGGCATGGGGCATGGGGTGGTGTTGGGCATGGGGCAGGGTCTGGCTGAGGCAGGGCTTAGGGCCAAGTCCAGGCAGGGCTGAGCAGCTCCACTTCTCTGGGGTGGTTGTTAGCATCATACCTGCTGTCCCATTAGCTCCCCATGCTGCTGCTGTTAGTCACCTCTCTAATGGAGCTGGTCTTTAGCTTCTGGGACAGCTGATTTCCAGGGGATTATTTGTATTACACACTTTAATGCTTTTTAATAGCAAATTTTTAATTAAATGGAAAGTGCTTTTGGAAGCGAGGGAGCAGCAGCTGCAGCAAGACTCAGTGTGAGGCACTGTCTTAGACCAGAGGTGCACAAGTGAGGGGGGCGGAGGCAGCGGCAGGACTTCGAGAGGACTTGATGAAGTGTATATGGAGTGTGCCCAGGCTACTTTGTGTAGGAGGAAGGCAGGGACCTGGTGCTAGCTCCCTCCTCCTGTCCTGAAAGCCCCCTCTGTCATCTGGAGGCCTAGGGAAGCATCTTGTTTGCCTAGGAGAGAATGTTTTAAGGAGGAGGGATATTGGAAGTATCACCTGCCTTTGATCCTGTTCACAGAAATACTGAGATTGGGATGGGATTTTTGGGATTGAGTCACTAGATCAGATCAACTAGGGTAGGGAATGGGATTCGAAGACAGTCGTGAGGGCCTGGCTCTGGCCCTGGCTGGCTTCGGAGTCCTCACTCGTCAAGGGAAGAGAACAAGGGGTGTTCTCCTTATGGTGAACCACCTTAGTGGTAGTTCAGCACCTCGGGACTGTGCCGGCTGGGTTGTATATTTTGCTTTCTGAATGATCTTGCTTTGTGGGGAGGGGACATAGGGAGGCGCCTCAGCCCTGAGGAAACGTGTGACACTGGAAACGGAAGCAGCCTGGGCCCACCCAGGAAGAGACATGGCAGTTCCTTTGTCTCCAAGCACTGAACCAGTTGGTTAGGTGTCAGGCCATTCCTGAAGTGCTCCGTGAGGTGTGCCTATAACTGCCAAGGCTTAGAGCAAGGGTCAGACTGAGGGTGGCCTTTGGAACAGAGGTTCCCCTCAAGAGAGTTCAGGTGAGGGGAGGGACAGGGACAGTCAGCCAAAGCGGAGTCATGTCTGCATTAGAATGATGCTTAGGGGTTGGCATTTAACCCAGAGGTGGCTTTGTGGGCAGAAGCTTGAAGAGGAGACCTCAGAAGACTTTAGGCTGGTTTTTTGCCCAAGAGCTTTGGAGGCAGGGAGTGAGGAGGGATTCCACTTGCCAGCCTTTTCTCGCAGCTGGTGCATCGCCCAAGTCTTCTCCCTGCAGTGCCCTCCCGAACCTGTCCATGATGCTGCTTTAGGGACATTTGTGAGCGGTCTTTCTTTTGGGTGCCAGGGCTTTGTTGCCTGGATACGGGGGCTGTCCCATGTTTCTTATGGGAAGCAGTGGTGTAGACCATAGTCTTTGGAGTCAGGTAGCACTGGATTTACATCTTGACCCACCACTTAGAAGCTCTTTGGCCTTTGTCAAGAGACTTTGTGTCCCTGAGCCTCTGGTGCCCTCATCTGTAAAATGGGAATAACATTCATCTCAGGTGGTCGAAAAGAGTCATCACCTCCTCAAAGGCGGGCACCGTGTCTGAATCCCTTTACCTAGCACAAGGTCCAGAAAACAGTAGGCGCTCAGTAAATGCTTGCAGAATCAGTAATGTATGCAAGAGCCTAGCACAAGGCCTGGCATAGTAAGCACTTAATACACTGTTACTGTCGTCATTGCCTGAATGTGCGCATGGCCTTCCAGGCTCACCATCCATTATCCTGCACTGCGTGCCTTCCTGCTGAGCTCTGCCTTTCTGCCTTCTTCCCCTCCCCTTAGTTCTGCTCCCATTTACTGCCCTGGAAGAGCTCTCCAGCTTTCCCATCTGGTCATTGTTGTCCCCTGCCGTCAACATTGCTAGGTGCTGCCCACACCGCATCTCACCATCCTGTATCACAGCCCAGGACCACCTTCACGGAGACCAGCCCTCTGGGAAGGTTTCAGCTTTTCTCCATCTTGACTTCTTAGCCATGAAGCTTTTCTCTTTGCCTGAGTCTGAGGTAGCAACCAGAGCGCCGGGCTCTGGCTCCCAGGCCGCGTAGCTTTACACTGGGGGGCACTGGGCATGTCGCCATTCTCCCCACCCCCACTGACTGCTCCTTCTGGAGAGCCCTGTGAGCCTGACAGGATGGGGCCGGGGTGGGGCTGCTAAGCAGGAGAAGCCTAGGATTTCCAAATTTTCTCTCTGTTAATCTCTGTCCCCATCTCCTCTCTTGCAGTGCGCCTCCATGACAGTATTTCTGAAGAAGGGTTTCACTACCTCGTGTTTGACCTGTAAGTGCCACTTTCTGAGGGTGTGGGGGCCTTTCCCTCCAGCTGGCTCGAGATGAAGGCTCAGGAAGAGGCCTAAACAGGCTCTCCAGCCTCTGCCCAGGGCCCTCTCCTTTGCCGAGGGAAAGGATTTGACTGGGGCAGATTGCTGCCTCCCCCCAGGGGGTCTCCCCCCAGGGGGTCTCCATGCTACCCCAGCTTCCCCCCAGGGCTCTGAACCCCAGGACTGCGTTCCTCTCGTACTTCTGTTCAGCAGCACAACTTGCACAGATGCCTTTGTCTTATTTCTCAGTATGCTGTCCTTACTGGAGAAATAAAATACAGCTCTTTGCATGACCGTAAATCCCTGAGAAATCGGAGGTAGCTTTCATTAGTTGTAAGCCAGGCTCCTTTGGATTGGGTCTGTCCTCCACGTTGGTTGTGGTTTAATGCCTTAAAAGCGGCTCTTCACCTCCTGGATACTCCTCTTCAGGATTCTCAGGGTTGGGTCTCTGTGTCATTGGTCTCATTACTCTTCAGCTTCAGTAGTCGCTCTGTCCTTCCTGGGCAGCGATATTTTAGTGTTCGTGTTGGTCTCAAAGCTGTGACTTTTGGGGTAGGTTGACTGTTTTCTCTTAGATCCCTGTATCTTCATCTCTGCCTATTAGTGAATCTGTGGATTTTGGAAACAAATGTCCAGAAGGAAGGGAGGGCCCATGATACCTCAAGGAGAATCCAGGTGTCACCGAAGGATCAAGTGTGTTCTGGGCTCTCAGATGAAATGCATGGGGAGTTGGGTTGTGATTTCTCTAAAAGCCATTCTACAGGGTGACCCTGTTTCTTCTTGGACATTGGGGTTGGACAAGTAACCCTTTCCACCTTTGACCCTCTGCTTCTGTTGGTTGCAGTGTTACCGGCGGGGAGCTGTTTGAAGACATTGTGGCCAGAGAGTACTACAGTGAAGCAGATGCCAGGTAAGATGAGGGCCCAAGAATTCAAGTGTAGCTCTAGAGTTTAGGACTGAAGTAAGTTTTGGCCACCTTCGGGGGCGAGTATTGTGCCTGTTTGAATATCTTTGGGGAGGATCAGAAAGAGCTCTTGTCTGGAGAAAGATTCTGTTGAGCTGGGCTGGGGCTGCATACTGTGGGTGATATTAGAAGTTAAAAATTCATCACTTCCTGACCAGACACGGTGGCTCATATCTATAATCCCAGTACTTTGGGAGGCCGAGTTAGATGGATCACCTGAGGTCAGGAGTTCAAGACCAGCCCAGCCAACATGGTGAAACCCTGTCTCTACTAAAAATACAAAAATACAAAAAAAATAGCCAGATGTGGTGGCGTGCGCCTGTAATCCTAGCTACTAGGGAGGCTGAGGCAGGAGAATCACTTGAACCTGCAAGGTGAAGGTTTTACTGAGCCAAGATCATGCCACTGCACTCCAGCCTGGGTAACAGAGTAAGACTAGGTACCCCCGCCTGGCCAAAAAATAAAAAATAAACCAGCACTTCCAGATGAATGTTTTACAAAGCTTTTCCAAGTCTCCTTTACCCTGCAACCCCAGAAATACTTTTTTTTTGCACTACTGTGTACTCAGCAGCATGCCCAATGTCTCCCTCTGCCCCCGTCTTTCCTGTGACAAATCCTAGTGTGCTCAAGCCACTGCGCTGAGGCCCTAGCATGATCCAGAGGTGCAGAAGACATGGTTTCTATCCTGAGGGGGTGGGGAGAGCCCTGGGCTAATAATCCAACCAAAGAGCTCCAGGAGCTTTGAGCCTCTGTTACCTTGTCCTTACACCACCGTGACCAGCCTTACCCTGGGGCTCTTCCAACTTGAGGACCATTCCCCAGCCACACGCCTCAGCTTCTGCCTTCCGTGGAATCCTGGTTCCTCCCTCACCCACACTCTCAGGTGCCTGTTCAGCCTGCCTTCCCTACCTTGGCTCTTCCCCCAGCCTTGCTTTCTCAGAGGGTGATGTCCCTACAACCTGGTTTTGATCATGCTGCCTGCAGCTTATCTGGCTTATGTGGCAGCTCTGGCTGCCTCTGGATAGTGGGGGAGTGCAGCTTCCTCACGAATTTCTCAACCCTGAGAGGCTAATGTTTGCTGATCAACTTCAGATGCCTCAGCCTTGGGAAGAATTCTCAACTGGGGAGATGAATTCCAGTGCCAGCAGGGGAGGACCAGGCTCTGGGACGGAGGAGGCAGTGATGGCTCAGGGAGCCTGTGGGGAGGAGGGGGAGCTATAGGGAGGGGGCCCTGAGGGGGGTGACTGTACCAGTGGGCTTGGCCTGGCTCTGCTGGGACACTTCGCACTTTTGCCATTTTTGGCCAGAAGGCGCTCCCTGCTAGCCCGGCTCTGTTCTAATTATACATCTCTGTGGAGACTCGCCTCTATAGCTCAGTCTTAAAGTCTCTGTGTTCCACTCTTGGGCTGTGTCCTATGGGGAGGCCTGAGCTTCAGCCCCCAGGGACCCAGTAGGACCCCTTGGCTCTCATGGGAGCCCCAGCATCAGATTTTAGAGAAAGGAATAGTAAGTCTGGGCCACCCAGCCCAGCACACCAGGACGCTATACAGACGTGCACAGCATACCAGTTAGTGCCTGATGACAGGGGTCTATGCTGTAGGCCAAGGTCCTCAGCCCTGGTGCTACTGACATTTTAGGCCAGATAATTCCTTGTGGTGAGTCCTCTCCTGTGCATTGTGGCAGACATTTAGAAGCATCCTTGGCCTCTGCCCACCAAATGCTGGGAGCACTGCTCCTCCAGTTGTGACAACCAGAAATGTCTCCAGGTGTTGCCAAATGTCCCCTGGTGGGGGGAGGCACATTCATTTCCAGTTGAGAACCACTGCTCTAGATTGCCCTCACTCCCTGCCAGGAGTTTGACAACGGGGATGGCAGGATGGTTTGCAGTGTGGACAGTCTGATGCACATGTGTGACTGTGGCTGGGTGCAGTGTCTCATCCCTGTAATCCTAACACTGAGAGACCAAAGTAGGCGGATCACTTGAGCTCAGGAGTTCAAGACCAGCCTGGGCAACATGGTGAGAACTTGTCTGTACAAAAATACAAAACTTAGCTGGTCATAGTGGGGCATGCCTGTGGTCCCAGCTACTGAGGAGGCTGAAATGGGAGGATTGCTTGAGCCCAGGAGGTCAAGGCTGCAGTGATCTATGTCCACGGCATTATACTGTAATGCAGGCAACAGAGTGAGACCCTGTCTCAAAAATAAAAACAATAGTAATAAATAAAATAATATAACTTTGGGTTTGTTTCTTTATGCAAAATCATCAGAAATATTCCTCAAGTTTTCTGTTTGGAAACTCTTACGTACATTGTTTCTTTTATTTATTTATTTTTAATTTTAATTTTTAATTTTATTTTTTTAATTAAGTACATTGTTTCTTAAAGGTATGTGTATACTTGTTTTAGCTGCCTTACTAGGTGCCAGGCTTCAGGGCAGCTGCTGGGTCTTGTCCGTCTTCATATCCTAAGCACAGGGCCTGATAGACACTCGATAAACATTTAAGGAAATAAATGAGTGCGCCCACCCCCGACAGTAGCTTAGGTGTTTAGTTGGGCTCTCCTTCCTAAGTTTCCAGCACAAGCCTCTTCTCCAAGAACACAGTTACTATATGGAGAAAGGGAAAGAAGGCAGGTATTGCATGGTCTCATCTTCCTCAGGATTCTGGGCTGTCTCCTGATCTCTTGGAAATGAATTGATTGTATTAGACCTTTCCAGTCAAAAGCGGGTGAGATGAACCCCCTGTTCTAGCAGTGATCCTAGAAAAACCATCGAATCTGCCTGGGCCTTGATTTCCTCTTCTTTAAATAGGTTGAACAAGATGATGTGCAGTCTTAAGTTTCCAGCTGGCCGTTCAGTGATTCTCTAAATCCGTGGCCCCTTGTCACATGCCTTAGTCTGAGCGTGTGCTTGTGGATATGGATGAGGTAGTTTAACCCTGCACTGACATTTCCTTTCCTTCTGCTTTTCTAGCCACTGTATTCATCAGATTCTGGAGAGTGTTAACCACATCCACCAGCATGACATTGTCCACAGGGACCTAAAGGTACTACCCAGTCTCCCCACTGGCCTCTGCTGGTGAAGTGTTGGCACCACCTGGTGCCAGATAGTGGTACTGCGTAGACCCAATCTAGGCTCCCTCTTGGGCTGCAGGGTGGGTACTCACAAGGTTCTCTCTGTTCCTTCTGCAGCCTGAGAACCTGCTGCTGGCGAGTAAATGCAAGGGTGCCGCTGTCAAGCTGGCTGATTTTGGCCTAGCCATCGAAGTGCAGGGAGAGCAGCAGGCTTGGTTTGGTAAGGGTGACCCTGTCTTCCCTTGCAGCCCCCGCCCTTCCTCCTCTTCCTGATCTGCCTTCCTCTTTTTTTTTTTTTTTTTTTTTTTTTTTTTTTTTTTTTTGGATGGAGTTTCGCTCTTGTTACCCAGGCTGGAGTGCAATGGCGCGATCTCGGCTCACCGCAACCTCCGCCTCCCGGGTTCAGGCAATTCTCCTGCCCCAGCCTCCTGAGTCGCTGGGATTACAGACACGCGTCACCATGCCCAGCTAATTTTTTGTATTTTTAGTAGAGACGGGGTTTCACCGTGTTGACCAGGATGGTCTCGATCTTTTGACCTCGTGATCCACCCGCCTCAGCCTCCCAAAGTGCTGGGATTACAGGCTTGAGCCACCGCGCCCGGCTTTTTTTTTTTTTGAGATAAAGTTTTGCTCTTGTTGGTTGCCTGGGCTGGAGTGTAATAGCATGATCTTGGCTCACTGCAACTTCCGCCTCCTGGGTTCAGGTGATATCCTGCCTCAGCCTCCTGAGTAGCTGAGTAGTTCCCGCCTCCATGCCCAGCTAGTTTTTGTATTTTAAGTAGAGATGGGGTTTCACCATGTTGGTCAGGCTGGCCTAGAACTCCTGACCTTAGGCGATCCACCCACCTTGGCCTCCCAAGGTACTGGGATTACAGGCATGAGCCACCATGCCTAGCCTCTGCCTTCCTCTTTTAGAACTGGAAACCAGACCCTTAATGGTCCTGGCCTCCTCAGAGACTGGCGGAGGGTGGGAGGGTGCAGAGTCTCTCTTGGCAGTACATGACTTAGTACAGTGAGTCTAGCTGTTGTCAGCACTACTTTCTTGCTACCTCTGGGAAGAAGCTGGAGTTCCTGGTAGGCATATGGATTTGTCCTCTAATTCAAATTCCACGTACTGCAAGAAGCCCAGCCTGTCAGCTCTTGCTGCCTGCGTGCTGAAAGCTGATATAGCAAAAGCAGCAGGAATGAGAAGGGACTTGGGGAAAATTGCTGGCGTGGATTTAACGAGAGAGAAAGTGGGTTCAGTGTGCCTCTGCCCTCTCTTCTGCTACAGGTTTTGCTGGCACCCCAGGTTACTTGTCCCCTGAGGTCTTGAGGAAAGATCCCTATGGAAAACCTGTGGATATCTGGGCCTGCGGTAAGCCCACTCCATACTCCCAGCTTTTCGCTGTTAAGGGCCCTCACTTCTGATGATGGCAAGAAAGAGACATCGCTATTCCTTGTGGGTCGCACACATGCCTGGTGTTTGTAAAATTACAGTGTTTGCTCTAGTGCCCCTGGGATGGCTGTTCCCATCACACCCTCCTCCCTGAATACTTCCGGGATTACATTGTATCCTTCTTGGAGAGGGATTTGCTCGTGCCTTAGAGGATGGGTTGTGCCTAAAGAAATCCCTGATGTGACCTGGTGACGTGAGGAGTGAGGCATAGCAGGAGGGGCTGGTAGCACAGCATTATTGGCTGGCATCCACTTCCGACTCTGGTATGGCCCCTGCCTTTCTGGGTGGCTCTGAGCCCTGCATGGCTTTTCTTGGTTCCTCAGGGAAGTAGGCGACTGACCCCCGTGACCTGTGTGTTCTGTCTCGTAGGGGTCATCCTGTATATCCTCCTGGTGGGCTACCCTCCCTTCTGGGATGAGGATCAGCACAAGCTGTATCAGCAGATCAAGGCTGGAGCCTATGATGTAAGGACCGGAGAGCCGGGTAGCCAGTCCAGGAAGGGCAGATGTCCTGCTCCTCGGTCTCTGTCCAAGGGAGTGGGCTTGTTTAGTGTGTCACATGATACAGGGAGTGGCAGAGGACTTTGAGGACCCAGGGATGGGCATACAGGGCTCAATTCTTGCCACCCTATGTCCCAGGGAGCAACTTTCTTTTGCACAGCCTTCTTGGTAACTAAAATTGAGGAACCCACTGAAGCCCTTTGATCTTTACTTGCAAAGAGTGGAGCGGCCTCATTTGTGTGTAACACAGGGATTAGAGCCTGGAGACTCCTCCACAGCAGTGGCACCTTGGACACATTGCGGAGTCCTTTTTCCCTCCTAAGTAGAGAGCTGGGCTACACCAGAGAATGTTAGAGTCGTGATATTCTGGCATTCTAACCACGACTATTCAGTGTTTCTTTCCCAGTCTTTAAGTTGACACAAGTTCTGGGATAGTCCCAGGGCTTCCCCAACTCTCTGCTGGTCACAGCTTTAGGTACCACAGAGTATCCCACTTATAGGAGTTGGGTTGAAGACAGAGCCAATGTTTCAGGATGCGAAGCTCACCAGTATCATATTCCTCCTCTCCCTCTTCCTCCTCCTTAGTTCCCATCACCAGAATGGGACACGGTAACTCCTGAAGCCAAGAACTTGATCAACCAGATGCTGACCATAAACCCAGCGAAGCGCATCACGGCTGACCAGGCTCTCAAGCACCCGTGGGTCTGCGTAAGTATCTTTGCTGGTGGCCAAGGAGCTCAGGGGTGTCAGCCCTCCATGTGCCCTTGGCACCACCCCCTCCTTCTTGCCAGCAGAGATTCATTCTGGGCCCTGAGCAAGAACTGAGCAGGCGGGCAGAGGACTGTTGAGGCCCAGGGTCAGTAAATGTCACCAGGGAGACTTGGGAGGCTGATGCGGCTGGTGGGTCGCTACTCCTCTCTCCCCCACTCAGGCTGGGATTGGTTCTGTTTTTGGATGAGGGCTCAGGTTGACCCTTGCAGACTATAGGTAGCTGGTGATAGAAAGCAGCTGGCAGAACCCAAAGTGAATCCCTAAGCTGGGGGTTCCTACTCAGATCTCAACTCCAATGGAATGGTGACCAGAGCCCAGTAAAGCAACAGAAGGGGTCTCTGAGTCATTAAAAGCATGAAAGCTCAGGCATAAAGCTTCTGCGCTGAAGTCCTAGGAGGGTCCCCTAGGCTATCAGTGTGGGTTAATGTACTCTGTTTTCATATATAATGCCGTCAAGCTGAAATACCTACTTTCAGACAAAGAAGAGGAACTGGTAGAGTTAGATATCTTGATAACCATGAGGCATTATTTATCTGTCTATTCTGTGTTTATTGAATACCTCTTTGGTGCTGGTCACCGTCTGGGTGCTGGAGATACAAAGATGAAAGAGGTATGGTCCCTGCCCCCAAAGATCATCTAGGGAAACAAGCACTCAAACAGGCAATCATGCTACAATGTGACAAGTACGTACAAGAATCTAATGAGAGTACAGGAGGTCCTGCTGTTTCTGGCAGGTAGTGGGGTTACTGAAGGCTGCCTGGAGGAGGTGACCTCAGTCTTTGTTCTTGGCAAATAATTAGGAGGTCCTCAGAACGTTAACCTGAAGAGAGAGGTTAGCATGGTGAGAGGTAATGGGAAATTGTGGTGAGTTGAAGGAATGTTGAGTTGTTTGGTTGTCGACGAGGCTGCAACTATCAGAATGCAAGAGAATGAGGCAAAAGATTCCCTGTCATACAAGCTTCTGCCTAAGGAGTTTGGATTTTATTCTGAAAACAGGGAACCATTTAAGGGTTTTAAAGAAGGAATGAAATTTGCATTTAAGAAAGATCACTTTGGAAGTTGTGTGGGAAATGAATTGCCAGGCACGGTGGCACACACCTGTAGTCTCAGCTACTGAGCAGGCTGAGGCAGCAGGATCATAAGCCCAGGAATTTGAGGCTGTAGTGAGCTATGATTGAACCTGTGAACAGTCACCTTACTCTAGCCTGGAAAAGATGATTGGACCCCACCTCTTAAAATAAAAAAAAAAAAGGGAATTGAAATTTTTTAAAAGAAAAGAACTGGAGACAGAGAGCTCAGGAGGCTTTTGTAATAGATGTAATAGTCTAAGCAAAACCAAGTGAGGCCTCAGCTGAGGGTAAGGATGGGGGAATGTGCAGTGTGTTGAGATTCCAGAGATATTTGAGAGAACCTAAAGGATTTAATTTTTTCCAGTTGGATATGGGGGAGTGAAGAAGAGAGAGAGGGATCTGTGGGAATGGCCAGGTTTCAAGTTGGTCCCTGAGCAAAGGGTTGTACCCTCACTGACCCAGAAGAAAACCAGAGGAGGAGCTTGTTTGTGAGACAAGATGATGGTTTTAATTTTGTGCCTGCTGAGTATGGTGTCTGGCAACCTCCAGCCAGACACATCCAGTGGGTGGTTAGAAATATGGTCCTAGAGATTAGAAAAGAAGCTAAAAATTGGAAATTCAGGTTGTAGTCATTTCTGTGTAGTTGGTAGTGAGGCTGTAGAAATAGATGGGGCTGCTTCTATGGTGGTTGAGTTCTTATGGTGAGCCTGTATTGCTGTAGTAGAGAAGAGATGGCCACTACACACCAGCATTTAATGACACTGAGAGTTTGGGGGGCCAGCAAAGGGCACTGAGAGTGAGACCCTCCAGAAGACCCAGAAGCTAAGAAACGGGGGGCTTCAGTAAGGGAGCATCGGGAATCAGATGCAGAAGAGTCCCTGATTGAGCTGGGGAAGAATCCCCTGGCTCTGACCATTAGATGCCATTGTTTCATCATTTCACTGAGGCAGTGGAATGAGAGAGATGGAAGCCTGTTTTCAGTGAGACGAAGAGGGAGTGAGGGCAAGGAGGGGAATGGGAAGCTAGGCAGTGAAGAGGGAAATAAATGGTGCTACTTAGAGAAAGATGGACCAGCGGAGCTTTTAATGTAAGGCTCACGCCTATAATCCTAGCACTTTGGGAGGCTGAGGCAGGCAGATCACTTGAGGCCGGGAGTTTGAGACCAGCCTAGTCAACATAGTGAAACCCCATCTCTACTAAAAATATAAAAAGTTACCTGGGGGCCGGGCGCGGTGGCTCAAGCCTGTAATCCCAGCACTTTGGGAGGCCGAGGTGGGTGGATCACGAGGTCAAGAGATCGAGACCATCCTGGTCAACATGGTGAAACCCCGT